TTGTTGGCCTTCTTTTGTTCATTTGACACAGCATGTAAGAGTAATGATTTTGTACTTTGTCTGTGACAAGCCAAAATTCTAAAATGGGTACATGTTTCATTTCAAGTATATTTGATCTATGAAAAACATTAATAATCGTAAATAGGTAACAAGCGGTGGTTGTGATTAAAAGTATGGGATCATCTGCTTCATAACAGACACCCATCGTGTTTATAACGATAAAGAAAAGTACTCACCGCACAAGTATTTCAAAAACCAAGAAAAAAGTTTCTCGGAATATCTATTCAGTTTTTGGGAGGCCAAATGTTCATAATATAACTAATAATATAACGACATTGTCTTACCATACCATTTCTATCTGGTAACATTTCCAGTACATTAAAAACAACGGTCAATTCAAATGTCAACATAATTCATAAATACATTAGCTTTGAATTAGAAGTAATTCTCAATTCATTTTCAATTACATGTCATCAATCAATATACTATTAGCAATATTGTTCCAAGGATAAAAATGATATGAACAGATTATCGTAAATATTTAAAAAATGTGTTTTATCTTTCTGTACGACCAACAATCTGCAGTGATGTTGGGGTAACTACATATTGCTTGGTTCGCAAATTATATGGATGGAGACTGCATGAAAGATATTATAACGAAAACTAAATGTGCTTAATTCATTGCAATCAAATTTATCGCTAACATAGAATGATCGTTTGAATATCTATTTTTACAGTATATGTGTGTAAAATATGTACCTATAAGTCGGATCCTGGGGGCCAATTAGTTGGAACATTTATTCGCTTGAGAGAGGAAAGAATTCCATCACACGACTTTAACGTGGGAAAAAGCAGTTTCGACTTAAAAAATAATCTGATACAACAGAATAACAAAATACCATAAATATCAATTATGTCTTGACTTTTCAAGTCCTCTTTAGAATACATTGTTTTACTGAAGCTACTTACTTTTACCAATCTAAGGCATTGGTATCTTAAACCTAACTTTATTAGTAAGAGAAGTTATTTCGTAGAAACGTTATTAAAATATAAGGGGGTATCTTGCAAAAAAGGCATAAAACAGAAAACATATTTCATAGACTGTTTACTTACCATGATAGCGATTCTTACAATCCACACATAATTCACGTAAATTTGATGATTTTTTTCATATCACGCATGCAGCTTCTGAACCACACGGCCAGTAGTGTTAGGGTCCTACTAAGACGTGAGATCAAATTCCTTCTAGCATGGTTTTCCTCCCGATTCTACACTTTGTGTTTTGTCATCTTGAATGTGAGACTGAGGTTATGATTTAAAGTCCTTTAATTGTCTCACCAGAGATAGATCTTCATGTTAGTTGTAGAAATGATATGTATCATTGATAACAATTTATATATTCTGAAGTCAAACTAATTGATTATATTTCTCAATTGAACATTGTTCGGTTTGTATTTCACATGCTAAAGTTGTCTTTAAATGCACTCCTGTAACACTTAATCAACCATACCTTGGTTATGGCGATTATTCTCGAAGACAACACTAAATATTATCAATTAATCACGCTGATTATCTCAAGCTTGGGAGGCCACCATATGTTGTCGTCTGGTCCTGTCACTATGTCAACACATCGTAACCAGGGAACCAGTTCACGCTCACCGTGCAAATTTAATTTAAACTGTCACTCGTTCTGTACCTGATGGTATTCTGCCAATTTGGGTGTGATATGACTACTTGTTGATTGCATTACGTGATGTAGTCCGATTTCTGACCAATAAGTTTTCAGACTGTTATCCTATACCGTTTCTTTGGACTATGAAAATGACGTCTTAACGACACCATGTGTAGTAATATCAAATACAGTAACCTCTACTTATAGCCTTTGCCAATGTCGTCTTTATCAGATCAACAACTTATTGGATCATATTCAGAGGAGATTTTCAATTACATGTATCATTGTCTACAGTATAGAACTTTAATTAAAAATGATGTACCTAGAGATACCGCCTATATATGTTTTCACTGGCCTTTAGCTTATGTACTCGTTTACTTTACTGTTATTATGATGATATAATCAGTTCTCCAAAATATATTTTCGTGAGTTTATTATATCCCATTATTTTCACACACATCATATTTAGCAACTGATCTGTGTTATGTATTATATTTTCAGCAAAACCTTTCAATGAATTTTAGTCTCATTTAAAATATACCGAAAAACGGCATCGATTTTCGATTTTTTCATATTTTGGTAAGCATTTATCAGTAAAATTAAAAACCTTCACAAATCCTGGTTTGCAGTGAAAACATAATTAAGATGCCTTTTATCATACGACTTATATTTCTTTAAAAAAAACGCTCCAGTTATATTACACTAGTGAAATATACACAAAACAGTATAACGTTTGCGAGTGCACTTGATAACAGTTCAATTATATGATAAGATATAGTAAAGGCTGAAGTATTGACAACAGATAACTGGGATTCGGCGAGTTATAACTGAAGACTAGATGTTATCGCCAATAGTGATAAGCGTCAACTAATTTCAGGGATCGAACTACTGCGATCACATTGATCCTCAAGAAAATAACCCCTTTAAGGGTAATTCAAGACTGTTGTTAGTACTCGATAAATCCATTATTAGCTAACGTGTTTGCGCTACATCTTCTAGTTATGGCTAGTGCTAAGTATTGTATTTACTGTATAAACCTTTTACTCGAAAAGACGCACAGGCGTATGTCGGTGTAATCAAAGCTATGATATACAACTTTACCAAAGATCAATTGGTCATTATTCAAAAGCTTGAAGTATGTGTATAGGTTAATATATGACCTTCACGGGCATAAACAAATCTATGCAATCTTAAACACTGTAATCAGGATGTTGTCTGGTCAGTATCAGTGACACTTTAGTGATGTATAAGTCTACCTGTGCTGTAAATATGATGTTTCTTTTATATCATTATCAGTGTTATCGTATCTAAATCTGTTAATATCACCTGACGAGTAATACATCTGATGATGATAATCAGTTGTACAACCGACAATGTACAAGCCTAAGTATGTTTATTTACAGCTAGTTCATCTGTAGCGTTGTTTACTACCGTGTCATATACATTTCATAGTATTTTTATGTTACTCTCTGGTCAAATACAAACCTTCAACAAAACAGTTAACCCAAACAATTTTATTTTCCACCTTTTGTTCAATTCATCTCTACAGGAACAAAGCGAATTTCTACGCAACTAGGTTTTTAAAATACACGTGTAAGTAATACAAGACATCACAAAACAATAGATATATATCTATGTATGTATTATAAATTCATCGCACAAAAAAGAATATATATATATATATATATAACATTTCTACATTAAACATTCATATTCTAGGACTGAAAACCAGTCACGCGTCACTGAGCTGCACATAATTTCATACTCCATTTGAGCCGATATTTTCACGACACAAAGACACATTAAACTTCTTGGTTACCTGCTCTTCGTTTGTTTACTTGTTTCATCAACCGCGCAGTCGCTATGCTTGACCAATCTCAAACACCGTAGACGTCATAAGCTGTATCTTATTATCCTGATTGTTCGGTGGTGAGATATTCATAAATGTCGCTGATTAAATAGATAATATTTTTTTATAATAATGGACATATATTTCGTGGATGGGGTGAAAAAATTGATATTTTTGCGATTGTGCAGCATGGGTGAAGACTATCAAAGTTTCCATCCATCTCCATAAGATATAACTTTTATTCATCAAAAAGCAATGTTTTGATTATAACATATTACACACCGTTAAATTATGTAGTTTCAATCTACCGCTCCGTGTATATCTGACTTCGTGTTCTATTCACATCTTGGAAACAGATCTTTAAAACAGTTAACATAAAGCGAGTTAATGCAACACATAAAACACTTCTATAATTGAATTCAGACTGACTAGGATAAACCTATTAAAGTAAAGCAGAAGTTTCCTACCATTTATAGAGCTATCTTTAACAACGTTGTCCTTCCTGAAACACTAACGAAGAATTTTATATTTTCACATATATTTCCCCTGAAGGTAAATTGGCTGTTCCGAGGTTACCTCAGCTGACCTGTGTTGTCTGTCATGATTCCCTTCAACGTTTTAATATCTTATTACATTCATATAATATATAGGGAAGTGTTATTCTATAAACTTGAACAGAATGCACGAAAATTTAAGGCTTTTGTGCTAGGAGACACAACAATGGTGTTGTTACAAATATCAAATATAGAAAAATACACTTATTCATACCTATATATGCATGTTAAAATATCTTTTGTTCTTAACTAGTGCTCCACAGACTCAACAATAACATTATCGTGTCGATTATAAAAGCAAAGTTTTCGCTCTCAATGACTATGCAATGGGACTCACTGTGAAATGGTACATGTGAAAAACACAAGCAGAGAAAAGCTTCCAAACAGGAAAGTTTTATCACGATTCTATATTCCTGATACAGATTTCGAATTTTTATATAGTCATTGATACATAGAAAAGTTCAAGGAATGTAGTACATAACAAACGATGATACAATCAAAATAGATAATCCTTCATTGTTAGGTATGTAACAAAACTATATGTCAGAAAAGTCATTCACCCGATTCACGCATTCCTTTACATTAATTGATACGTGCACATGTATTCAAAAGAACGAAACAGCTGTGGGGTGCAGTTTGAATCTATAAAGTATTAAAGTGTATCACGTTTTGTACAATCACTGCGAAACAACCTTTTTGTACTTGTCGTGAAGTGGAATAATCGAAATTGTTCATTGGTACATTATATATGTCAAACCCTGTTACAAAATCGGTCCACTCAGCCGGATTCCTTCAGTCTCTCTTGTAGTCCGAGACAGTTAGTACTATATATGTTGCTGACATCAAAATTAGCCACAGATAGAGAAAAGTTTATCCTCACAATTTGTGCTATCGAGGCCTGTTTTTGTCAGTATAAGACAATGACCTTTCCCGGGGTCAGGAGTTTGTCCAGACCAAATGTTGTTCATCACTGCTGAACCGTCACTATACTTCCATTCAGGAGACACAAACATTCCCGACACAAATAATCTGTTGTTGTCTTGCACTGAAAATGAAAATACTCAAAATAAATATAGTGCCCCTTACCTATCAATCATTGCTTGTAATGAACACAATATGGAATTTGAAATGCCATAGTTCATGAAAAGTTCTCTCAAGCAGATACAAATAATTGCAGTTGTTCATTTAATGTGTTACAGGCGATGGGCAACAGAGGCGTCAATGAATGTCGCATGTATAATTTGGAACACAAATAGATCCTGAATAGACTAAACATCTGCATGATTCAGTTAATTTTTTTATTTAGTTGATCTGTATTGGTCGTAGTCTTACATACAAAGAATGGTGTTTCCAGCGATGACATTCCAAAGACTAGAGATTTGTGATACTGCAGTTATCCGGATCAGTTGGGAGTAATGTTGACGGCAGAGATCGGCAGCATCAGCTTGGTTCAGACTACGCTCGATAACCTTGTAAAAACCAAACCCGCTAGCGAATTCTTGAAAGCGAAGGGCTTCGAAAACGTCTGCAACAGAAAAGAGATTCAATAAATGCATGCAAACGCCATCATCCGGTGTAAATCTATTGATACAAATTATTTATATCTCAGAATGGGATAAGACAATTTGCAATTGTACAAATTTAATATCACATTTAGTTATATAACTGTGATTTATATACAAACTGAAATAAGAATGTTTGAAAAAAATAAAATAACAAAAACCTCTTTTAGCGAAAGCCTTTTCTGATTCTGTATTTTTCGAATATAGACTAGTAAATGCCATTGTGAGATCCCGGCAACTTTTATCCTTGTGAAAGGTGAACGCATAGCAAGAATTTGCCTGTAGACAAAGTTTGCCACATTCACATGTAGACCTGCATTGTTCCTTCAACACCGGGTATTGTTCAAGATCTACCGAGGCCATCATCGAAAAGTTTTGGTAAAGTTCTGAGCCATTGTCTGAAAAAAAGAAGATCTTTTAATAAGATAAGCATGTTCTTTAATTTCAGTTCATGTTTATTCATCATAGGAAAGCATAAAGTGAATTAAAAACGTATCGAATTCGTCTAAGAACCATCTGTAAGAATTGCTTGCTGTTTATTCACATTATGTATTTCTGACGGACTCGCCGATGAAGAAAAACAACTTTTGTCAAGTTATACATGATTGACATTATTGCATATTGGTGTGTGTTTCATTGATATTTACTTTTTCTTTCTATCTTGTAACAACCGCCGACATCAAAGCGGAGACTGATAAAACTATTCCAACTTTTCGGATTGATACGCAGGTACGAAGCAGAGACAGCAACACCGAGAACGACCCTGACCACGCTGCTCTTGTCTCTGTTTCCAACAAATATCTTAAAAAATAAGGAAACTCAGATTGGAAAAACATCAAACAAAATTCAATTGATTTTGAAACGACAATTTCCCGACACAAGGGCAAAAAGACGACTACGATTTTTTACCATTGTGTTATTATCACAGACAATAGTAATGAATCAAGTTCCAATTCTGTCATTTACACCACGACTTACGATTGGGTCTTGGTTTTGTGACTTCACATCAGTCCATGTTACACCATCGTTGCTATAGGATACTGAAAAGGTTTTAACGAACTGGTTATGTACTGAACCGTTTCGTCCCTGTAACAGGATTGTTTCAATACTTATCTTTCTTTGAAATTGCACCTGGAATATATAAAGCATGAATTCATATAGATAAAAACACACTTCAAATTACTATTATAACACATTTTTTTCAAATATTCTGAATCTGTTAAATGTATATGTTAGATAAATGTACACTTGTGCTTTTTTTCGTAAATCATCTGATATCTGAAAATTGCGAACTTTATTCAATTATGGGGCTGAAACACTTCCCTGTTAAGATTTTATTTTTCTTTCGATCACTGAATTTTCCTCATTCGCCCCCCCCCCCCTCTTTCCTCATTCGCCCCCCCCACCCCCACCCCCGAGCTTCAAAATTTACTGACGAGTGCTAGAAGGACGAACTAGCTGAAGTGTAAATCCTTATTTTGCTCTGTTTTATCGGACTTTGCGTTTACATTAAAAGATTCACTAGTTTGTCTTTGTACAATAGTCGACGTGAACGTTCCAAATAAAAAAAAACTATGACATTGAAATAACATAACGATTTTATAAACATAAGCTGTTGAAGTTCTGCAATATTATTGTCATGCATTTTATTAGTAAACGATAGAATATACTCGAAAGTTGATATCCCCTGTAATTAATAGCTTCTCGATTATTAATTTCTTTTAATCTACAATCTAAAACGAATTCTATTTCCATAACATATATCTATGTGACATTAAAATGTAATATTTTGTTGTATGTATGCGATGGAAATAGAATTCGTTTTAGATTGTAGATTAAGATTAATTGACAATCGAGAGAGTATTGAGTTGTATTTTCTGTGTATGAAATCAGATGCTATTTAACGTTATAAATTACTATAGCAATACCATCCTATGTTATACACGTAATGTGTCCTGTTTGATTTTATGATCATTAATTAACACACCTGTATATATTGATGTGTGTCCATTGAACCTGCAACCCATGAATGTGCGCCAACAAGTTTCAAGTTATAATGTAATCTTGCATTTCTAGGACCGTGATATAGTGGGTCGTCAGCAAAATTACTAGACGATGTCAGTTTTTCGTCCTCCACGCCATGCAGACCTGATACCAAGTAATCAGAGCACACAGTCTGGTCTGAAAGTTAATTACACAATTAATTGAAACATCGCACACAAAAGCAGTCTGACTAAAACCATATCTAGATCTACACACCTTTGTAAACGTAGCAGAGTGAACTATACGACAAAGAATTGTAGATCAAAATAAGGTTTTAATTGGACAGCACATGTTTTATCTAAATTTACATTTCACTGTATGTATCAACCCCAAAATCAACAGAGCATTACCAGTAGTAAAGACATACATTATTTTGTAGAGCTAAAGATATGTATATCAGGTACATGTATCATGCATACAGAAGTAGATTTGTATTCATAATTTGGAATTTCATCTACGATCGGAGTGTTAATGATCTTTAAAATTGAAGAGTTTCTCATTGAAGTTCGATGACCAACACTTTTATCAAAAATCCTACCTTACATGTACTGTCTTCCTCTTTGGCACAGTAACGTAACAAAAACCAATGTAAACAGATTTTATCGCTTTTTAAAGTGTAACACATGACACGAATGTAAATGCAAGATCAAATACCAATAAATAAAATCGATTTTCAAAAGCGATTTGATAGGAATTCTTATGGGTGCTTAATTACAGTTACCTGAAAGTATGACTTGAATATTCCATGACAAAATCAGAAAAGCAAACAAAATCCAGTTCCTAATTGCGTTCATATTTCCTCGATTCACAGTCGGTGAATTAAATACAACTGTCCTCTCGTTATATTGATTATATACCGTTGGTTTCGATGATGAAAAAAATGATATATTACTGAATGTTAACTTGCTCAAATTTTAGGAAAGCAGCATATTTCTAACAATATTTCATATATTTCCGCTTTTCTCCAGGATTTTCAGTACTGTGCAATCACATACAAATTATTTTGAACATGTATCTTTCAGACACTAAGCAATCTTAGTAGTCAATGACATTACACGACTGACAATAGAGAAGGCACTGTCCGGTAATCTGTCGACAAGACGTTGGAAAAAGAAAATCAATATCCAGTCAGGTAGAAATGTTTTTGCCGTCATTAAATCAATTGTGCGCTTCGATGATCAAGTTCACATTGATAGGCCTAAAGTTCTTCTGTTCGATTCGACCGAATGACAAGCCCTGGTTCAATTAAGATTTTATCCCACTAGACCTGCACTTACTACTACATGGTGGTAAAAAAAATCTTGTTGACACAAATGTTATCGCCGAAAGAAGCTGTATAACACATATCAAACACACATATAAAGACAAAACAAGATAAGAGTCACATTCATTCAAACCAGTTGCTTTGTCTAATGCAATTTTGAAAAAAAATGTCATTGAGATATTAATTTTTATCTTTCCTTAATTTCGGATCGTCATATATGAGTAAATCTGGAGTTAAATTTCTTAGTGCCAAATACCTGCAAATTTTCTTCATAAGAAAATACGTCAGGGGCAAAGTGTTCAAAGGAATAGGAATTTCTGTTTAGAAAACTGAATAATTGGCGTGATTCTCGAAAAACAAAATACATTTTATGCGAAAAAAAGCACAAATACAAAGCTAGATGACATGAGACATTTTTTTGGAAGATTGTCAATTTTTTACATTAGTGAATATTAAGCGAAATATTTAATATCACGTGTAGGCTTAATTCCATTTTTATAAAGAAAAAACTACATTACGGAATGATTAAGCTCGCATCGCAAAACTTCAATTTCCATATTACCGTAACGTTTTTTTTTTTTTTTTTTGTTTTTTTCTGTTTAAGTTTGCGTGTCCACTCTATTGTTTATAATCAATGATGGTTGTACAAACCATTACCATAAGGTTCGCCCAAGACTAAGCAGGTGACCAAAAGCAAAACCAGATTTGATATATTTCTTATTCATATCAAAATAATCTATTAATCCAAATACACCATTTCAGTGTGAATTCGGCCACGGTGTTCAAGCATTCATAGACACTGTCTTTGTTTACTTCTAATGTATGAAACCTACCTTTCTCTCTCTGATAAGATTTCCAATTCTGGTAAAAAATGTACCATGATTGCTGTTTTCTTTGAAGTTCCAGCTGTATTTACTTCTGAAATAAATTACCACCACTTTGGTGAATAACATTTGGATCTTGTACTGATTATTGAATTTTAATATTCTGATTTATACCGGGTACCGGTTCTACTGGTTACCGATAACGGTGCTACTTGTAACCGGTACCGATACCGGCTCTACTGGTTACCGATAACGGTGCTACTGGTAACCAGTACCGATACCAGTTCTACTGGTAACCGATACCGGTTCTGCTGGTTACCGATACCGGTGCTACTGGTAACTGGTACCGATACCAGTTCTACTGGTAACCGATACCGGTTCTGCTGGTAACCGATACCGGTGCTACTGGTAACCGGTACCGATACTGGTTCTACTGGTAACCGATACCGGTTCTGCTGGTAACCGATACCGGTTCTGCTGGTTACCGATACCGGTGCTACTGGTTACCGATACCGGTGCTACTGGTAACTGGTACCGATACCAGTTCTACTGGTAACCGATACCGGTTCTGCTGGTAACCGATACCGGTGCTACTGGTAACCGGTACCGATACCGGTTCTACTGGTAGCCGATACCGGTGCTACTGGTAACTGGTACCGATACCAGTTCTACTGGTAACCGATACCGGTTCTGCTGGTAACCGATATCGGTGCTATCAGTAAGCGATACTGGTTTCCAAAGTTATTATTATGAAGTGGTTTTAGATTCATTTACATGCATGGTGCAGTTTCACCTGAAATTCAATGCAACACGCTGGGCGGAATAAACAGCCTATTCAGCAATATTTCCGCAAAAAAGGCTGAAATATGGTGAAATTTTGAAGATAATGGGTGACGGTGGAAGTTCAATATACATTACCTATTCCGTGATACACAATTACATCTTTAAATGAAAAGATTTGAAATACCGCGTTGAAGATTTTCTCTGTTATATATATATATATAAAACATACAAAACCCTGATTTAAAACAAGTCTCAGAAACAAACCAATTGTGATTTTCCTGGCAAGCTTGGATTGTCATATGAAGAAATCTTCTGAAAATAGTGTTCTCTGTGTCCCTGTTGCTATGTACTTAGCGGTCTGATGAATTTTGTACACTGCACTGCCTTGTGAGCTCATGTTGACCGTGTCTTGATTCTGTGTAATTCCAAAACGGTCATTTAAACCGTTTAATGGACTTTTTAATTAATTGGTATACAGGGCTATGTCATTCAGATTGGCTTATATAGACATATTTATCATATTTACAATAGAGAGAGAGAGAGAGAGAGAGAGAGAGAGAGAGAGAGAGAGAGAGAGAGAGAGAGAGAGAGAGAGAGAGAGAGAGAGAGAGAGAGAGAGAGAGAGAGAGAGAGAGAGAGAGAGAGAGAGAGAGAGAGAGAGAGAGAGAGAGAGAGAGAGAGAGAGAGAGAGAGAGTTAATTGTATATTGTGTATTGAATTTTGTCTTCATGCATAATAGATATTCGTTTACTTAAGGCAATGTATGTCTATTAAGGTAATTTGTAACAATTGATTTGTATGTAAGATCAATGCACTTCTATTTGTTTTCCTATATATATTGATGAGTCGACAACAAACGCATTTTAAGGAAAGGGCTTTAATATTCTGAAAGAAAAACGCTTTCATTTACTATTCAGTCTTTTAATGGTAAAGATTTTGTATCTGAAAACACATTAAAAATGATAATTATTTACACAGTCTTTCTTTGAGACTTTTTTGTCTTTGATTAAGAAAAACCTTTCGACTGTATCCAATGAGTCATTCTCTACTGATAATTTCAATAGCCGCTAAATTCATGCGATTTTTTCATCACAACTGACCGTGACGTTTAACTAATGAAGTAGGTCCGAATATCATCATGTATATAGACACGTATACAATCCAAAATAAGTGCGGTTATAATTGATAATTACTGCCTGTGTCCCCCATTCTCGGCCCTCACAGTAAAACGAAGGGAAGTAACTCTGACAGACCAAAATGATATCATCCTGCTTCGTCTTACATGTACTAAAGAATATGTCTGTTATATCCTCCATTCTGACACCTCATTATTTTCTCACAGGGATGGGGTGGGGGTTGATACTCAAAATCCTGGAGTAAAGCTGAACACAGCCACAACGCCTTTATACCGGTTCAAGTTTCGTCTTTTCTCAATACATATGAACACATTTAAATAAAGTTTCTTTCCTTCAGTCATTCCTCATTGGAATTCCCTCCAAGCATCTCCTCCTGCCCTCTAACATGGAAGCCTTCTCCATAAACATTGCTGTAGCGTTGATTGGGTCCAAGTGTCATTGGCCGCTACATTCAGGTAACTCTGATCTATCATATTCATTCTTTCATCTATTCTATTTTGTTCTGTATTTTACATTTAATACTCTTAATTAGTTAATCCCGTCACGATCCACAGCCCTGTGTAGTGATCATGCTTGACAACTCGGCGTCATCTTTATACCTTATGTAGATGTTGATGACGCGAAGGGTTGTAACTCATGCAGAACAGAATAAAATCCTGAGATTCGGTCTGCTAACGTTAAATGTTTATATATAAAAAGAACCTTAGAAGTAGATGCGGTTTGGTTTTTGAGAAAAATGATAAAAACCGTTAAAAGTTTGAAATATTTTTTTCAAAGACATAAATATTATGATATACTTTACATGTTTGCTCAACAACTAGGTAGTCATTGTATTTTGGTAGGGAAGGAGACAGGGTCTCATCATTTATGCGTGTGCAAATGTGCTATTTCCATGGATATACGAAAGCGAAAAAAATCTTAAGCTCGGAAACAGATGTATAGGTGACTTGCTTAAAATGGTTGGGTATCTTTGATGCAACAAATTCAATTCAACAGATAGATATCTTTGAAATAATCAAGGTTTGATTATTTGTCAGGTTTTGTATAAAAAGTACAGCAATGACTTATCAAGTTAGAAATAATCAGAATTATCTGGAATCCATGAATTATCACAGAAATTATACAGTTTCGAGCACTAACATTTCTATCAAATTAATACACTGTGACATTTTCTGTTGTAGATAAAACTAATATAGTTGTATTCAGGAGAAGCAGGATATTGTTACCTAATGAACAGTGGGATGTAAAACACATACAAGTGTTAGATCAGTTTTGTTATCTAGGCTTGGTATGTAATTACAATGGTAATTGTTGCACATAATAGTATCATTACACCAGGCAAAAGGGCGTGTTATCTTCTTAGTCATAAAGTGTTGTATATGTGATATACTAGTCTGTGAGATATCCTATTATACCATTAACGGTCTAAGGCGAAGTGGTTCCGGATGTTTCATTTTTGCTCTCTATTTTATCAGTTTTTAAGTGATTCCGGACAAGTTGGTCCGCTTTAGGTTCTTATGTTGAGTTGAAGGAGGAATAAAATGACTGAACACAACAAAGTTTAAAATGTTCATCTTGAATGAAAAGACCAAGTTGTCACTGTTTGATACGTATATGGTGCATTTTGAATATCGGCTGTGAGGTCTGGGGATTCGACACTTCGACAAAGATAGAAAAACGCATTTAGCTTTCCTGATATCTCTATTGGGTGTGAAGAAAATTGTTAATAACTCTATGCTTTATTTCGAACTTGGTCGTTTTCCTTTTTACATACGGCGTAGAGTTTTTATTATCAAATATTGGCTGAAAAATTTAAAGACTGATAACTGTATGTTGAGGGCGTGTTATAATGAATTATTGGAACTAAATACAAAGAGGACCAATTGTAAGGCAAGCTGAGTTTTCATTTAAAACAGGAGCTGATACCAAAATAAAGATATGTTTTATTAGTGTACAACCAACGGATACAGGATACATCTGTTCAAGAATTAAAAAATGGTTTCTTAAAAGGTGTATTATATATAAACATATGGTAGGTAAGTACAATCCTCTCTCGACAAGCTACTTACTTTAAAGATAAAAATGATTATTTCTAGGTTGAATGCGCATACACTAAATGTTGAGAAAGGAAGATAGCATGGCCTTCATCAACCTCAACTTAAGAGAGATTGTGCACGCTGTGTGACAAAAATAAAGTTGAGGACGAAACCCATATCAGAAATAATATAATTATATATTAAACCATACTATTATCGTCGACCATCTGTTTTCAAAGTACTACGACTGTTTTAGCAATAATGTAAAATTCTTGGTAAGTTTTGATAGGTATTTAATTAACGTTACGGCCAAGAGAAAGTTATCATTGCATAATGAGTTATCAGTTTCTTTTAACTGTTTAGATGTAATATGTATGTGCAGTTATATATTGATTTCCTTACACTTTTTATAAAGTAAAATAGTGCACATGAATTTCTACATAGGAACAAATAAAATATTGTTGACTATGGTATTTTATTAACCCGCTTCCTGTTAAGGTTGCTTGTTATTATTTTTTCATGATGACGTCATAATGTTATGACGTAGTGGGTTCTGTTTTATTCATGGTTTTTGTATATGTATACATGTATATATATTGTCACTATATATATATAGTCAGTGTATTTTGCTTTACCAGTCCGCGTATCGGACATATCTACACCATGGGAAAACAGGATGTTTTTTGATTGCCAGGAAAACAATATAGATAGTACATACTGGAATTAATCAACGGTTTAGATCTGTCTGATCCGAAAACAATACCCCCTTCAAATATCGCCAGTTCGCAGAATGTTCTCACAATATACAGAAGTTTGAAATAAAGATTTCTTTCAAACGCAAAGCGTTGTGATGATTATGAAGTATAAGTATGTAAAAATACATATTTATATGAGTTGACTAGTTTTCCCGGTGAATATTGTTGCTTCCTAATGTCACTTCGTTATCTACAACTAGATGGACGTTGTACAAATAAGACTTTTAATCAGAAACATCTGTTTTGACATGGCGATGCCAATACAGCCCGTAAACCTGTTTATCACATCACGGTGTTTAAACATTAAATGTAATTCACTGTATTAACCTTCTGATAAACTAAACCTAGCATTTACTACATAAATGTATTATAAAACATTTTCCCTCTGATTAGAAGTTACCGTTTCCATATCAAAGTAGAATGCAGCTTGTCGTTTCGTTGATTCATTTATTTCCATGTTCTTATATATTTAGTACTTGATATATATTTATTTTTGATTATTTGATAAAAATATAAACTCTCTCACTCATTTTCCTGAATTTAATTTCTACATACAATAAGAAATAGATTTATCGCTTTGTTTAATGGGACGTGATATTCCGTGACCACCAAGCGAGACCACGATACGGCGACGCGAGATCACGATACGCGAGCGATGTCATTGACGTTTAACTCAATAGTAATTACCGAATATCAATTAGCGACTGTTTAAATGTAAAACCATTGCATTTAATTACAAAAGAGTCATTTACTTTCACCTATAAACACGTTATTTGAAATCTACCGTATATATATTTATTTTTGTTTGAAAAAATATAAACTAGCGGTAGATTTCCTTATTGTGTCTAGACATGTCATTGACGTTTAACTCAATATAATTACCGATAGAGATATTCTGTTTTAACAGTACAATACTATCAATCCAATGGATATAGATTATAGTGTAAATGGTGTACGGAACCACTATTAATCATAAAAAATATTAAAAAGTAAAGACAGAACCCTGATCGTTACCAGGGTACCTGATACACCACTGCTTTTCATCACTTAGGAAATATCAGTTATATTTTTCATTCCATGAACAGAGAACAGAGAAGCTCTAATTATTTTTTCTTTGATGAATATTTTTTCTTTTTGATGATGTTTGAGTCACTAATATAACAATGATATTTGAATGAACTATATAATCCTGTTACTTACGATAATCATTTGTTAATCCACTATAATCTGTCTTTACTGATCGCTTCCTAACTACTAGATTTTATCACTAGTTTAAAGGAACTTCAAACTACTAACATTAAAAGTTCCGATTCTGCCGTACTGAAGTCGATCAATACCTGGATTAACAAACGACAATGTATAAAATCCGTGTTTCAGCTGAGGGTATCTGTTTTGTTGATACCTGCAATTAAACGTGTAAATTGTGTCTGTCGGGCGTGAGATGAGAGGCGATATACGGATTAACATAAGTTGTAACCACTAGGTATCCATTTCAATAGATAATGATGAAGTGCTCAGAATTTGTGCTAATTACCTTTATCGGATGATAACTATGACGCGTTAAACTCAATTGTAATTAGCGATATTAATATTTTTAATTTACCGCTAGGACGAGTAATAACAATAGAGACAATCAGGGTCCAATATCACACGTTTAGTAATTACCTTTCCACTCTCAAATACAGGCATTTCTCTAGCATCCAATTAGACGTTGAATTGACCATAGGCAAATTAATAAAGACAACAATGTGGACCTGTTAAAACACCCCAACAGGTTGTTTTTGGAGGACCAAGTCGAGTTGTGTTGTTACAGTCCCCACCAATAAATCTAGGTGACAAAAGATCACAAACGTGTCAATTTGGCCACGAACTATAATTAATGATTTATGTATAAAAAGAGTGTCGCTCAGTGTTCGAGTTCAAAATTGTGGTGGCATTCAGTGAGTGTATACGTGGCTTTATACTGGCGTCTTGAGACATTTACATGCACTTTTTTCAATATTTCAACAAGTTGTTTTGCTGTTTTTGAAAGAACCGGATTGAAGTTTGTTTTTGAATGAGTTGCTCTGCAAGTTTTAGGAAAATGGCGACTACGAACAATAAAAAAATGGCATTTTCTATTGAAAATCTGGCAAAAAGCAGCTGTACAAACGATACACAGACTGGTGATGCTTGTGTCATCACTCGAAACCAATGGAACGACAGGTACACCACAGATTTTACTGCTGAAAATTCATGGTTGCATAAAGACATCACAAATCCAGGACATTTCACAACAGATGGCTATCCTAATCCGTATTACCTGAACAATAGACAAACATCGCCTTGTATGTCACAAGCACGATTCAATTCTCCGTTGAGCCACTCAGGAAATGGACTTCAGCAGTTTTCCGACGACGGATATTCCTCAGAAATCAGTACGCCTTCTTTATACGGAAGTGGCAAAAAACGCAACCGCATGGATACTGATGACAAAGGATGCAGCTCACCATACGTTATGGGAAGCTCCATGAAACGCATGCGCATTAGTCCAGATATCCAAAAACCAAAAGACATGAGGGTTTCTCAAGTACATGAAGAACGATTAATAGATTCAAGTTTCGAATCAACTTCTACAACTTCCGGTAAGGCTTGTTTGTATAGGGCACTATTTCACACTCCAGTATATTTAATCATATTGTGCATATGATGTACATGTTAAGTTTTGAATGCATGCTGTTGGCTTTCACAAGTAGAAAACACGTATTTGTGTTGTATGAAATGAAGCTTAAACAAAATAGTTCACTTTTTAAATCTAACAATACGAACAGTATCTCTGAATACTGGGTGTATAGTGCATGTTTGATAACGAATCAATTAATCAATCAATCAATCAATCAATCAATCAAAAAGGATTTAATTTTTTTTTTCGTTTGTCATCGATAGATTCAGATGAAGGTATTGGCGAGACGCCCCGACCAAAGAAAGCAAGAACAGCGTTTTCCGATGATCAGATCAAGACACTAGAGATAAAATACAAATCACAGAAATATCTACCAGCTGGTGAGAGGTCAAAACTGGCAGTGGAACTCGGACTCACTAACCAGCAAGTAAGTACTTCGAAATATTTATGTATAAGAAATGGATAAAATACATCCAGAATACCAGATGGAATTATTTATAGTAAATAAAACTCACTCTATCATTAAATAGCGGCGATCTACATAGAGACGTAAGCACTGCTAAATATAATCCTATCTAACTTTTCTGCTCATATATTAGTGTACGCTAAGTTAATAATACATTTTAATTGTTAAAAATCAAAAGAAAAACACCCTGCACACACAAGAAGAACAACAGGAAGGTGACAAGCAAATTGGTAATTCATTCACCACTTATCTAGATGTCCGAAATTCCCCGAGCGGACGTAGAAAGGTGCCATCTGGAAATTACCTGTCTGATTACGTGGGTTTTCTCTGGGTTTTCTCTGGGTACCCCTGTTTCCTCCCACAGTCAGACACCTCGCACACTTCTATCTGGGCAACAAGAGTGAGAGATATAAACTTAAAGCTTGTTTCACTGTTGTTTTGAAATAAGTACATATGCAGGTTATATTACAAGTGTCTGAGACGATTTGTTTTATATTAAAAAAAACTTCCAAACTCTGTTTATACATCGTAATATTATAAGTTTCTGAGATTACAATTCAAACGAAAATAAAGATTAACTGTATATGAACAATATTCTATTCGACTTTTCATCAGGTGAAAACTTGGTTTCAAAACAGAAGAATGAAGGAAAAGCGGAAACAGAAAGATGACGCCTTTCATGCTGGCATGCCTCTGCCGACAGGTGGCGTTGATATATCTCAGTTGCAAGCCCTCGGAATCCCTTGTCCTCCGCCTTACACCATCAACAACAAACACCAACAGATGATGAGAGATGACGGAATTCCAAACTTTTCTTTATCAACTCCGGTTATCCAGTCACCAATGCCCCGAACGTCCCAGCACGTGCCTACCTACTCCGGGTACCATCCGATGTCAAATGGCCACGACAATTCGCCTAGCTATTTGTCATCAACCAGTAGCCTACAGGATAACAGATGAGAAAATGATCTATCCGAGACTGGATATAACTACTGAAGCTAAATTTGACAATTGTGTAGTATTATGTCATTAAATGTAAATATGTACATTGCTGATCCACTAAGTGCCAAATTATTAAAATATCATGACTGATTATATAATTGTGTTTTTGTTTTCTGTTATTGTTACGACTGCATTATCACAAGCCAGCCAGTAGTAAGCTGAATTTTGGCTTAAATATTTACATGTACAGTGACTACTGCGTATAAATGTTTGTTTCAGGAAATCTATTTTTATGATTAAGACAATTTTCTATTATAATCCCGATGGAAATGTGCTCACAGTCTCCATGATACCTTCCCCAAACTTAACACGTCATCTATGACAGGTTGTACGTCCACTACTACGACCTCTCGACCTTTCAGCGGACGAGAAAAAGTAGGAAAAATGAGTGGTGGGGAGGGGAAGAAATAGTATGAAGTAGTGAGAGAGAGATGAACACATAAAAAGACATAATTACATTTGGATTTTTTTCCCCTCATTTTTTACACTTCCCGTTTGTCAATCGTCTCTTTAATTCAATTATATGATTTCAGCGGAAATCGGTAGTGCAATCTCATATCCGAAAAAAGACATTCTCAATTTCAGGTGAATTTGAGGTCCTATCTGTAGATAGAACGTTCGGCCAAATATTGTTGCTTCGCTTAACGGTTTATTGAATAAATCGTATCGTATCAACATATCTAATATGGGAGACACTGATTTGTTAAATCAGAACGTATATCTGATTGTCAATAGAACTTTAATCTAAAGTTTCGTTGTCATCGGTCATTCCTAGGAATATCTAAATGATGGTTGTAGTTCCAGAAGAAAACGGGGAAATTTATGTACACAATTTTATATTAAGGCACTTCCGTGTTAGTGTACAATACTGATAAATGAATATCTGTCAACAACCGGTAGCCTTCACATTATCTTATCATAATTAATATTATCATTACTGTCTTAACTTCCTGTCAACACATAAAAGATCATTAGGGCTATCAACCGGTGAAACACGGCGATTCAAATAGGAAATTACATCAAACAGGTAAAGACAAATGCTTAAGACCTTAAATGATAATATCATCACAAAAAACAAAACAAAATGGTAAGTAATTTTCTATAATATAGACTAACATTTTTCAGATAACCTAGAATTTTATAAATCTCAACAATTTCAAAAAGGGTCTTTAGACTTGTAACGCTACGATAAAAAAAAACTCGAGAAGACAGAAAGCCAATAGTCTAATAGAAAATGTTTAACGGTGAATGGCTCATCACATCCTATGCACCGAGGATTATCTTCGCCTTTCAACATATACGAATGCATAACGTATGTATGGTCCATCCGAAGACGGGCAATGACAACTTCGTCTCGCTGGTTGTCTCTATAGCCTGGAGACCATTCACCGATAACAGGTTTAACGGAGTGCAATTTGTTATTGGTATAGGTATTCCAATTCTCCTGCCACTGAGCTGTTAAAAATGTTTGATTAATGGTTTAAAATCAGTCAAATGAAGTTTAAAAACATTTGCGGCACGATCTGCATTTTCATTGCCTGTTTTTTTTCCATGTGCCCAGGAACCAAGCAAAAAACAATACGAAGGTTTAAGGTAAGTTTATGATACAGTATTAATGTATTACAAATGAAAATATTTTCGATATTTCTATAGCCATATTACTACATTTGTTTGTAGGTTTGTAGATTATAACGATTAGAATTCGCCAATACCAGAAACATCTGGCTAATGACATTAACGACGACGGCGACGACGACGATGACGTTACCATGAGAAAGGCCGATACCGTATGTACATACGGGTGATCCTACTATACAGTAACTGCATATGTTTTTAAAATCGATCTGTCTTGCTATTGCGTATAAAAACGATAGTTACGACATATTGAACTTATTGCCACATGCCTACCTGTTCTCATCACCAAGGATTGTAGACACAGATATGTGAAGCATTTTTGTTCAGCAAAGGATGCGACTGTAAACGACCATGGTAATGCTAAACCATAGCGACGGATCCAAGTATCACGCACTTTACTTACATACCGTATTCTATTGTAATTCAACTGAATTAACTTTTGAAATGTTTCAAATATTGCCAAAAGTTACATGTAATAATCAAATTTTGAAAAACACATTTAAAATATATATATATATATAATAGATATCAGATTTAGTTGACGATTTTACAGATATAGATGTGATAAAGATGATTTAGGTATTAATTGTGTAAGAAGGACCGCAATCATCGATGAAAGAATGCTGTGCATTATCTAATACACTTGCGAAAACGATACACATGTATATATCTGTGACATCTGTACAGAAATCTGGATAATAACAATTATTTTGATCAAGAAAGGATCACACTGATTCGGATCAATGAAAGAATATTGAATTTATGATAGACAAGAAATATGATTAAGATATATTTATTTATGCTAAAGGATATATAACAACTATTGTGACGCCGAAAGATGAAGCGCAAGGTTTTCCAGGTGTTTGTACTATTAAGGCTGTGTTTATTACTTTCCTTCCAATCCACGAAGACGTCCTACTACAAATTAGAAACTCCTTACACTGGCACGACACAGTTGAACACCACGACTGTACGATCGGCGATAGAACGTTCAGTGATTTGTTCAAGTCCAAATTGTGTATCTTTCTTATTCGATACAACAACAAAAGTGTGTATTACGTACGGAAGTGTCAGTAATGACGAGACCGGAAGCGGAGCAACGAGTGTGAGGACGTCTACACTGGTGAGATCTGGTTAGTACAATTAAGTAATAAGGTATAAGTGAGTGAGTGTGTGAGGCGTAGACATGGATGAGATCAAAACATACGTTGGCATAAGTGAATAACATCATTTAATAGAAATTTAGATCAAACACGGTAGAGTCAAACAAAAGATTTAACTACATCATACAGCTGTTTCGTCCTTCTGGGACTCATCAGTGATGTTATATCATACAGTTGTTTCGTCCTTCTAGGACTCTTAAGTGATGCTGCATCATGCAGCTGTTTCGTCCTTCTAGGACTCGTCAGTGATGCTTAAGGCCTGAATGTTTAACCCAGAAGGCGATTGATAGAAGGTCGGAGGCGTCACAGAGCAAGAAGAGCTTTTCAGACTTTGTGAGCGAAGTAAACATTCATTCCCTTTGAAATTAAAAATGAATCAGTACCTGAAGAATTTTCTGCAGACATCTTTATATCTTTATGGAATACAGTTTTCCTATAGCAAGATATAGCTTAAGCAGGATAGCTCGGTAAATAGAGCATTGGTTAACGCAGTCTCTGATGAAGATCCGATATAGATGGTGCGAAGCTTCCTTTCCATGGCGGTTTGAGTTTCTCAGCAATCTGATCACATTACAACTATTCTTCTACTGGTCATTTTATGGATATCGTGCTTGTTGTACGGGGAGGAAGCCACCTGCTGATGCAAGGGAATGGCTGGTTGTTCACGTGACAATAAATCCAATAATGGAAACAAAAATGATAATAGATGTGTTGGCGTGACGGGATAGGCTTCTTGTATTTTTGTCGTTGAATAAGGTTAATCTAAACATTGTTCCTGTGTTGAGAAATTGAAGTTAATTATGACATTAAACCTTGTAAAAGATAATCTTATATCTAAATAGCAGGATTTGTACTCTGTCTAATGCTTAATGAACATCACCTTGATATTGTAACCGTTTTATTTTAACGAGAGCGTGATGTTAAACTGCAATAAATATTCAAGGTTCATAGAAAAACGTTTGCAGCAATCACACACTTTACATAGGCTATGGAGAAAACACTGATAACTGACTGTTGTAAGCTTCTTATCCATTTGGACGGAGTATTTACCTGATGAAGACTAGTCAAACATTCTCAAACAATGCGGTCCACTCAAGCATGATTGAGTTGTGTTTATGTACATATATTGATATGTGGTAATGTTTTATCGCGTTACATTTATGATATAAGTAAGATAATAGTAAACCTGTAACGTACTTATCACATTACATCATAAATTATTCTTTATTTTATTACAATTACGTGTAAATCGTACGAAAGTACGAAGTCCTAAGGTGACATATTATAGTTGTTGAAGGTAATGGTCTCACATCTCAGACTGTGGCGAGTGGTGTGTCTTTGACAACAAAAAATACCCGGGGTGTACACCAGTCCGGGTCCGTGCGTGGTTTTACTCTTATATATTAAGCAAATACATAAAACCTGTTCCTCGCTTATATATAGGTAATTTTTAAAAATTTTTATCAACCACAATAGATATGTGAGACAGAACCACACAACATACGCACAGATATACGATAACTTATTTCGTCCACTTTACCCCCATGCGCACATCGTGCAGACATCGTCTACACATCGCGTAACGTTGTACGATCCCACAACTGTAGTAAGTTTACCGTGGTACCACACGATTCATCAGTTAATGTTTAAATGACGGTTAATATACTAGTTGTTCTGTATTAAGTCAAGTCTTGGTATTTTATATAAAATATTTATTTTTTAACAATAGTTTGGTAAACTTTATTTCCAAATATCCGTTCAAACTATGAAAGTATGAAAACGGGTGGGTGAAATATAAGTGTGTTTGGAATAGTTGGATTTTATTTATTTTAGGCCATCTTACGTCACTTTCCGTCAGTTATGTGCCGTTCTGTGACGGTAGTACAGATCCCTCAGTATCCTGCCCTTAACAAGCCTCAGACTTACGCTGAAGTTGTTGGCCTCGATATAAGAAGATTTCATTACTTGGGATATTTCTGCCGTCTTTATAGATTATAGGCTTTATTGTGCACGTTGCTTCGGTGTACACTGCCCAGATGGGCTATATGAAGAGGTTGGTGGACTAGACAGAATAATTATAGACTGTATCTAGTGTTTTGTGAGTGTGTGAGTATGTATGTGTTTTGTAAGATGTGTTGTATATTATCTTTATATGTAGTGGAAATATATATGCTTATTATATGACGGTCTTTTCCCCGTTTTCCAATTGGCTTATTCTAAATATTCCCTTATTGCTCAAACACTATATCAACCGTTTATCAATCTAACTACTTCTTATCCAAATATAGAGACGAGGGACTTTCCGTGACGTCATAACAGCGTTCTGGGTTGATATAACAATGAAGTCAGAACAACACGATCCGATGTCATAAGTCGACAAAATGGCAGACGGGAGAAGCTCTGTTAAGATAAATGAAGAACAATTTGAAAGTTTGATGGATGAAAAAGACTCGAAACACAAGAAATGCACTAGATACAGTGAAGATATTTCGGTTATACTTAGTGGAGAAATCAAACTAACAGACTGTGAAACTTTTCGAGTGCTGAATTGGATATAGTTGTAAATTATTGTTGAAATGCTAAGGTGAAATGGAATGGTGTTGTACAGCATCATTTACATGTATTTCCTACTAACTTCGTTGAATTTCTAGCAGGATTAGATTATCCATTAACTCCAACGTTATAATGTTTTTGTTTTCCTTTTTATTGAAGTCTGGATTTTGATAGATACATTTAACGTCCATACTTTCAAAAGATCGGACACGATCATTTATAAATCGAAAATATAAGGGAAATGTCATATAAAAAAATACTTTTAGCACTAAAAAATTGTTCCATTAGTTAAAAAAAACCTGTAAACTTTGCTGTTGATACTCTTCAATGCCCTACTGAAGTTTTCAATCTAGGCAACGCATACACAGAACAGTCCGTTCTTGGTTTCGTGGGTAGTATTCTTTACATTGTATCAGAAAATGATTGTTTTATCCTTATAGAATTTTACCAGGAACAAGACACGTAAGAATGAAATGAAAATTGACGTGCTTTTGGTATGCTGTAGGCTTGGATACCTTACAATAAAGTGGCAAGAGAGTTTTTGGGTACACATCGATGATTAATGCTTCATGAAGGCGTTTTCAGCAGCTAACAAGGCACGCGATCTTTCACAAACAGGACTACGTGTTGTTATGGAATATCTATAACAGCAGAACATCACCGTACTACCGTGGCCGGTCACCAAATTTGTTTTGATTTGAGCATGGATGAAATGAAGCGACACCTGCGTCACTAGCTAAATGCTCCTAAAATGTTAGACGCATTCGCCACACAATGACAGACATATGGCAGAACTACGTAATGTGATCAATTTCATGCGTCGTAGCTATGTGGCAGGCATCAGAGGGACATATATATTAAACAAATGAGTCTGGATCTGCACCCCATTCCTTTCTCAGACAATGTACTTCAATATCGATTGGCCGATTGTCTGATTCATTTGGTCATTGTGAAGATAAGTCATTGTAAAGAAAAAAATGGTACAAAGTGTAACACATTAATTTGCGCATTTTTTCCCATTAGTAGAAGATTGCTATTTGTTATCTTCATACTAACAAAATGATCACTTTAAAGGCTAAGAGAAACAGAAAAAACTTATCTATAATGAATCATATTGATTTCTGATGCTTTGTTGACAAAGCGGTATTGACAAAGCTTTTTTAATTGTACATTGTATCTTTATGCAGGTATGGACATATTGACACTATTTCCCTAAAGAATATATGCGTATTATTTTTCTTCCAAAGGCAACGAATTTCAAACGCCTACTCATTCCAGCAGTTACAGTTAAAAGCGATGTTGAACTTGATGATATTTATTGTAATACAAATGTACATTTTCCCTATAGTCGTTGGCTCCCTGTAGCAATCTATATGCACAGATATCTGTTTGACGTTTTAATAACTGTTTTTGCGCTCGAAAAGGTATTGTTATCTCTTCATTTTCGACAGTTATAGGCTTGCAATACACATATGCTTTTCGTGTAAGCTTACACCGGAACAATGCCATACGATGGTAAATGTGAACTGACTGCAATGCATAATACCTTACCTTACAAACAGTATTACAAAGTAAACGAAACAGGAAATAAGTCATATCCAGAAATCACTTCAGGATTGTTGGTGATACTGAGGTGTTTTGATAGACCATGCTCATTATGCATTGAGCTGACGTGTTATAGCATTCACAGTCGTTGTAAATCACAGAAAGTTTAAATCATACATGATATAACCCGTTGTGTTAGTATTCCCAACGCACTTTGTCGTTTTCTGATGATAATATATTGATTTGAAAATATACTCAGTATCGACTTTGTGATTTGCCAACTGAACATATATAATTTGAATTCAAAACTTTCCGATTTCCGTGCACATAATAGTTGCATTATCCTGCACTGGATGTCTTTTATGGAAAGGTGAATCTGGTTAGCTTTATTATAGCGCTGCCATGTTGGTCGCTTCATGATTTACTCTTAGTGGTAAATCATTTAATGAAAATCTTAGTGGTAAATTGAACTTTGATCATCAACACAAATCTACTCGGAGTGAATGATGTTTTTTTAATAAATCAGCATGTCAATTCCCGTCTTACTTGAAATAAGATTATTTGAATGGATTGTTATTATGACTTCAACAACTAATATTTTTTGCTTTAGATTCAGAGTCTCTGGTCGATTGTGGTGATATATCATGTGTTGAATGTTCAGGAGTCTATAGAATTACTCCAGTGCCAGGAACGTCATTCGATGTATTTTGTGACGTGGACACATTCGGAGGTCCTTGGACTGTAAGTATTTCACAGTACCTTACGTGTTTTAAATGTATCTGGAAGTGCTTGGGCTGTAAATATCTTACAGTATTTGGAAAAACACAGATAAGGTTTTTGACTGTAAACACCAATTATTCAATAATCAACAATATTACGCAAACTGTTTATACATTATGTTTGCGATACAAATACAGACATTTCATGAAGCAGATGAAAAATATTAATATAGGATACAAACGAAGAAAGTACAAGGAGAAAAGGAAAGTGGTAAACTTACATTGAAATGATTTCGGAAGTACTCTATTAGTTTGACCGGATACACATGCACTAACAAGTGCTTTGGTGTTTTGTTTTCACAATTGAAATAAAATTTGAAGAGGGTATTCACACCTTCGAACATCCTTGAACTAAGGTATGCAATTGAAATGTACATAAAAGAATTGTGTGTGTGTGTTTGTATATGTGATTCAATATCATAACGGCTGAAAATGTGAATTCCGTAAAAGTCAGAATATGGTTTTATTGATGACTCTCTAGGTCGGTGAGTGGTTATTCCTGTTTACTCCGAGCCTTTGTTCCTAGCTCATCAAAACGTGTAATTCATCAACTCCCATTACGGGTTAGGTTTACTATTTACGATTTACGATTTAATTGCAGCTATCTTTTGCTCTTGGTGACTGCCGCCAGATGCACCCTTTCAGGTCAATGCGTTACGGTAATGTAAGATTCGGAAAAAGTTAACTGGATCATTCGAGGTTCAGTTGTACGAAGTTTATAACACAAAGTGATATAATTTCAACATGTGTGTAATCTCCAAACAACAGAAGAGTTAATTCTGACACTCCGAATATTTGTTCTCATATCACAAAAATATGATATGACATCAATTGAATGTTCGTCGACTGTTGATTAACAGACGAATGAATTCCAACTATTGCAAATAATGTTTACCTTTATTACTTAGACAATGTGTCATTTTCTATATCGTTTACACTACACTTTCATTACTACTGTCCACTAAAGCGTCCTAATATGGCGCTTGTGGAAGTCACCGATACGTAAATCAAGTACATACTAAGATATAAAATGACTTTAACGAAATGCGCCATGGACGATAAATCGAATAAAAATTAATAATGAAATATCATAACGAACAATAAACACGTATGTTAAAGTAAATGGAAAGAATTTAAGCTTTTTATCTTCACATTTATACTGATTTAAAAGCATTAAACAAAAATCAAGAAATTTAGATTATCGAGAGTACGTGTCAGAAAATGGTTATCTACTACATGTACATATTTATCTAATCATGAGTTGATTATAGTATCTACAATGTTATAAGACAATACGAAGCAATTGTCGAGCAAAATTGCTTGGGAAGTGGGTATGCATTTTATTCAATATGCATTTATAAAAGATAAGTTGGTAAGATTCACTTGACTGAGTTCAGACTGCCGGTCTACCATACCATGTCCATTAGTGGAGGGAGTTTTGTAACTTTCATCCAGCTATGGTGATCATCAATAACACCGGCAACAATACTGTCGCTAACAGCCGATTCCTACAAATATATTTACATTTATATGAATATATAGAGTTCTTGCAGATATGCAATTTATACATGTTAAAGGTTATTCAAAGACGATTTGATGGTTCGGTCAACTTTACTCGAAACTGGGAAGATTACAAGCGTGGATTCGGAACTCCTTACGGCGAATATTGGTTGGGTGAGCATGGACGATTACATGGCACTGTTAAAAGAACTGATATGGCTTTTGTTTGATGAGACTGGAATGAAGATGTAGATGTATTAAAAACTGATACATATATATATATATATATTAATATGTAAGTCATATAATCACAAAGTGTTTGACAATATGCTGCATTCTGAAGCGTTTTAAGTAGTCTTTCCTGCTACATTCATGATCGTTTGATTTTGATTTATGATACTAGATCACAACGATTGTCACATAACTAACTCGTCTGTGACTATTCTTTTCCAATCATACAACATTAGGACTAGAGTATATTTATAGCCTTCTTGCCTTGGACCAAATGCTCACTGTATACTTAGAAGGATGGAATGGAACAATGGGATACGCAACCTATCGTAGATTTATCATTGGAAGCGAAGCTGACAACTATCAGCTGACTATTGGTGGTTTCGATGGCGATGTAGGTGAGTTGCATTGTTTTTAACTGTCCGAATGACAAGAAGACTAACGAAAAGAATCATGGCCGTGATATTTGGACAGGACTGTCAAATTTGATCAAATGAGTGATGTTGGCTCATTTTCACGGTCACAGAAAAGCCTTAAAATATTTAAACTGGCACTATATGTTACACATTGTTAAAATTATGCAGAAATACGTTTAGCATATAAGTACATTATTTCCAGTGTAATATACAATATGACCTGTTCCGCTGTAGGCGGAAGTTTCATGTTTTCTCTGGGATTGCTTCATTGTGCCATGTAAATTGTGACAATGCATCGACAAAAATATTATATATATATAAGTATAATATGTTAATATGTTTAAATCACGTAATGGGATAATCTTACAGCTGTTTCCTTTTCTTATGAAATTGACGATTTACTTGCCCGGTATGTTGTAATATCCTGCATCAAACCCTTACGATGTACTGTCAGTAAAATACCCTTGATGCATATAAGATTTATGAAACTTGTCAGGAATTTTTCATTTAACAGGCATCACTTACCACTTTCGGTAAAATAAAACATGTTCAGCTCTTGCGATCAATTTTATATGAATGTAAACTACACCATTGAACTTATGTATTTATTAAGATATTATTTTGGTGATCGTGAATTAGTTTTTCTTAAACCGTTATCATTATTTCAGGCGATAAATTCACTCAACATAGCGGTCATTATTTCTCCACCTTCGACCGAGACAACGATCAAAACAGAAATCGCCATTGTGCCGAATTTGGTGGTGGGGGTTGGTGGTACAGAAATTGCTACGGTGCCAACCTAAATGGTGTTTACCTCGAAGACAATGGGACTGATGTACGATATTCTATGAACTGGGAATATTTCTACCCCGAAAGACGTCAAGCACCGTTGCGAAACTGTACCTTGATGGTAAAAAGGAAATAATGACTGACGAAAAATCAAGATGGCAGATATATTTTCATTCCATAGTTCGAAGTTGATGAACGAGACGCTGTACCTACATATGCCACGCAGCGTGAAGTAATAACGAATATTTATTATACTGTGAGAAGTACTTTGACTTGGAGCTACTTTAAAACACAAGGCCAACTTTATAATAATAACAGTGTTCCACTGAACATTGATAAAAAGTGTTGAAGATATTGAAAACAAGATTTGTTTTTATAATTTCATGAAAAAATCCTTCAACTTGGTATATAACGTTAATGGTTTCTTTACAACAAATCATATGATAATACATATAGTTCTGAAATTTCGGTGACGTATTGCTGTAACAATGTTTTTTTAGAATAAACATAACGCATTTTAGGCCTCAGTCTGTTGTATCAGCCTTCAGAAAGTTTACGTTGATATGTACAGTAATACTTTGATGTATTTTCGTTGTTCAGCAATTTTGTTGTACCAGAATATCCTGAAAACCATTTATGGCAGCCTCGCAAATTCTTTGATGTTTCCACGTATACCAAAAGGAAAGCGCCATAGCAACGATATGTGTGCGCTTCCCACTTTGGACCCTTCATTTTTTAAGAAAAAAGTGCACTTCAAGCGCGGGCTTTGTCGTAAGCAAGCTAAACGTTTAATCGTTTTATCCATAATTTCAGACTTAATCTTTATATATAACTTTAAATTATTTCGGTGAATTTAACATTTTGCACTAATTTCACTGATTTGATAAATGTAAAATGTATCCAAAATGTCAAAGGTAGCCGTTGATAGCCTTCTTCTATAAAGATTTTTTATTATTGTGCATGTGAAAGATTATATCTCACATTTATACTTACAAATGTATGTTTCATAATCGTGTATAGCCTTTCAGTACTTTCTTATGATTGTCCGCTGGGTTTATTCGTCGCTATCAACCAGCGTCAATTTGATGTGTAATCTCCTTGAAGCAATGAACAATACAGACCAAACACCGTATAAGTTGAATAAAGTGTCTTAGCTAAGGATACGCCAAGTTCCGCACATTTCCATAACACCACTATTTTTTTCTTTAATGTCGCCGATCACAGGTGCACACCGTCCCCAAAAGTCAGTCCAATGTTATAAATATTTCATATTTCAAGAACGAAAAACCTAATAAATTTTAAAATTTCTGAAACAAAGTGTATTTTTCCTTTTTTCAAGATCTCACAATTTGAGTGAATAAATTACAATTTCATTTTTGTGCGCTACGTTGAAATTTGTATCGGTCAACTCGCCGAAATAAACAGGAACGTTTAATATACGTCTATGATATAAACCAATAAAAATGAATTCGTTAAAAGTGCAAGTTTTTTTTTAGATTCTGAAATATCAGTTTTATAAAGAAGGGTCAACTGAACAAACAGACAATATGATTAACTATTTAATGCACTGTATAAACAATATTACTACATCCTCGATGTGGAAATCATTAAAATTTTCATGCCGAGCAGATTTATCATATCAATTAGTGATTAATGACGCCGTTGTGATAATATATAAACAACATTTAAAAATATGCCTGTTCACACGAGGGGATGGTAGACTACAACAGTGTTCGAAGTCAACTAATTGTTTTTATTTTCGCGTTTTCGTGCTGATATATTGTTGATATATTGACTCTTGCACAGCCAAAAGCTACACATTGACCTCTTTTTGTACTCGCTAATATACTTAATCATACTAAGTATTACAGCAGTCCTGTCCTGTCTATTGCTTACCCAATCATTTTGAAATTATCTGCAATAGAAAGCTGTGTAAAAAATAAACGTGAACGGGAGCTTTGACATTAAGATATCAGAAATTTGCAATTCAACATTTCTCAAAAGTAGCTGCATTAGTTACGCCTGGTACTTATATGAATGACATTTCTTACCTACCAGCTTCGTACTTTTAAAGCAATCGTGTTAGCAAAATTAAAAACAAAAATCACTTCCTTTACGCTGAACCACTACCTAGCTTCTGCTTTAAACACATTATCTAGGTAATGTTTTTGCGCAAGGGAAGAACATTGTTTTAAAAGTTGAGGGCTTGTGTTGTTGAAAATGGATGTGAGCCACATACTAAGGTGATGTGAACAATTACAAAATTTGGTGATTTTGTATCGATCTAATTTGTTCCTATATAACGTATGTATCTTACTAAGAGGTGAGTGATAAAATAAGCAAGCTCCAGTAGTATTAAATCCATATACAGTACATCCTCCCGCTGATTATGTTATACTTGCTTGAAAATACGTTTACGAGAAATCTTTGCTAAGGCCTAATTCGAACAAAACATAAGGTTAAGAAGAGGTGTAACTCGAATTAGCAAGTTTTACACCGCGATATAAAACTGCATCACTTGTATCGTGTAGTGAGTAGCAAGCGATTGTTTGTTTAGAGTTTTAATTCGAGTAACGTCATATGACGTTTGACCCCCAGACTTGACAAAATCACTAAAATTTGGAGGTTTAGCAGAATTCAAATTGGCGACCGATGGAGTGAATGTCGGACATTTGAGTATAAAATAAAAGTTCTGCCCCGGTTTATTTTCCCATGCAGGTGTAAATAGATAAGATAAAACAAGCCAGCATGCAAGCGGTGAAAGATAATGAAATGTACAATCTGCTGTCGCTGACTGTATCGACGATACCAGGTTAAGTATACCGTGAAACATGTTCTTTTTCTGACGAAATTTATATCTTAAAAGTCCTAATCTCAAACTAATTGCAACAACAAGTATCTAAAATATTTGTTTACTTATTTCTTTTGATCAAAACAAGAAAAATTTTACCTGAAAGCAAACTTTAGAATTTGTTTTGGCTTTCTCTGACCTCACTCATACAAAAAAAAAACAATAAAAAAACAATGATTAAGAAAGCATTCCTTCAAAACATACAAACGTCAACATAATCATGATTTGCTTCAAAAACAAATTCAATAAAACAAGGGCAAAATGATAACAAAAGACAGATCTACACGCAAACTCATGCAAAATACAAGGAAAATAAGACCAAGTGTTCTGGAAATGCACGCGTCTTCTGTTCCAGCGACGACACCTGGCATGTAAATCTTGGTCAATGCAAGTAAATAATGTCATGTTCTAAAATGAGAACAAGGTATACAACAACGGAACAAACAGGCCAGCAAACTAATGAGCACCAAACACGTCCTGCGTCATATCGCATAAAGAAATATTTTTCAATGAGATCACTATGACGACCGTAAAATGTTCCCATAATTTTCATTCACCTGCATCATTTGGATCTTTGTGTTACTAGTTTATCCATAAGTTAACAAATGGGAACAGGCCCATGAATAATGAATCAACTGCGACATGTTAACACCATGGTTTGGAATGTTAGCTTTTTGTTATCCAGAAATGGAAAATTCACAATAGAGAAATCAAAATCATCACGACTATTATGCAGCTTGATGGAAAGCTTTCCAAGTTGGTTTCGTTGCATTATAAGGTTGAGATAAGCGGTCTTTGATTTCCAATTCTGGTAGGTTTTACAGACGTATTCAAGAATTTTCTTGTTCTTTAAAGAGAAGACATCATCAATATATGTGATAGTGAAATTAAACGACTTTGCAACATCTTTGCGACATGTTTTTTTCAATCAATTCAGCTTCGTATGAAAACAAAAATAGATCAGTGAACAGATGAGTTTTGTTAATTCCGATATGTATGTGAATAGTCTGTTGGAAGATCTTACCACCAAACTCGACGAAGATACTGTCAACTTCTTTGATTCTGTCGTCTTATTTACGAAATACACTTTAATATAGTTTATAGCCAGGTCATTTAAATTTAGAGTTATTTTTAGTAATTATTTTTCCTAGAAACAACACTCTTTATTGTGAACACATACATGTAAACCAGTTGCACTTAGAGAATATGCATGAAAAAATACTTCTGATATGAGAACGTTTTGTTTGATAAGAATAATATTTAAGTGGTAACCCATTTTTTCGGTTTTTATTGGTCATGTCTTCAGGTATTCAAATGTCTCTCGGATGATTTTACACAATTGAGAATCACTTGTTGCGTTCTTAAAATCAATTTTGCCTCGAGAATTTGTGGTCCTATTCAAAATTTGTCCCTGCAGGAACTGATAATGACATCTATGTTAGATAATATTAAATGAAATGAAATAACAGATGCCAATGTATGAGCAAAAGAAAAATGTAAATGGAATTTCCTGGAAAGGTACAGGAGGATTAAAATCAGATGCTACACGGCGAACTAATTAACATAAAACGCGCCCGACCTATTATTGTACAATACAATAGAATATATAGAGTATTATGACGACAGAAAGCCTAACAAGCAATCTTCATCATCCTGCATCACTCGAAAACCTGTGTTGTAAGTTTGCCTTTTGCCGACATCTTGCACGGAAACGTGACACCTGGAGCAAGCTCTTGAATATCGAATGCACTGCGATACGTAAACAAAATGGTTTGAAATGGTGAAATGTTCCTGTCAAGAAATAAATTGACAATTCATAATAAGGATATGGGACATTGCCAGCCAGAAATTTTGTCATTAAGTAATACAGTCCAATCATGTGATTGTAATAAACCCGAATCGTACAATAAAAGCAAGGATCAACAGATCATTCTCCTAGGCCTTACCTAACAACTAAAAAGATGCTGATGCTGCTAACGTAATGATTCAACATTAAAGAAGCGAGAAAATTTCATGCATTTGTAATCGGACGTGTTCCTGGTAAATACTATTAAAATCGATCTGTCTTGCTATTGCGTATAACACACACAGTTATAACATATTGACCTCATTGTGACATACTGACCACTACTCATCACCAGTGATTCTTGTGTACTTCGAAATCAGAACTGCCTTTCCTGATATCCTGACATAGGAAGGGACAATGCGTGACGGTGTTATTATTTCTATGCTAAATCAACGGGTCGCATCATATTCCAGCACACTAGAACTACTTTGAAGCTGGGATATCGATGATGACTATAGATATATATTATAGAGACGATTTAGATATAATTTTTTAAAAGAGGGATCACATTAATTCGGATCAATGAAAGAATTTTCGATTTATGTAAGACAAGAAACATGATTAAGATATATTTATTTATGCTAAAGGATATATAACAACTATTGTGACGCCGAAAGATGAAGCGCAAGGTTTTCCAGGTGTTTGTACTATTAAGGCTGTGTTTATTATTTTCCTTCCAATCCACGAAGACGTCCTACTACAAGTTAGAAACTCCATACACTGGCACGACACAGTTGAACACCACGACTGTACGATCGGCAATAGAATGTTCGGTGATTTGTTCCAGCCCAAATTGTGTATCTTTCTTATTCGATACAACAACAAAAGTGTGTACTACGTACGGAAATTTCAGTCATGGCGAGACCGTAAACGGAACATCGAGTTTGAGGACGTCTAAATTGGCAAGATCAGGTTAGTGCAATTATGTTATGAGTGAGTGATTGTGTATGAGAAGTAGACATGGAGGGTAGGTAAATCTACATTGACTCCATTTCAGGGATAGAAGGTAAGAGAAGTCACCGAGTAGAAAGCGTTGATTCACTTCTCTGACGCCGATATACAACACTAGTGATTCAGACTAGAGACTGGTCAAGCCCTTGCATAGTAAGCAATGCTTTAACAAATGATACAAATTTGTTTAAAAGAAATAGAAAAATCGCTAAAACAACATTTATCTAAAATAGGAATTGAAAGCAGAATTCGTGATTTGATAGATAATAGAAATCGAAAAAGCATCAATGATCTCTGAGATGAATCTAAAATTTAAACATAAAAAACAAGAACCACTGTCATGAGATAATAATAGTGTACATTGGTGGAGCAATAGTTCATTGGTGAAGATTCGAGGTGTGTAGTTAAACCCTGGCGTTCGAGTTTCTCATGATTGCGTCTTTAGGCTAGTTATGTTACGCCATTTTTTCCTAGTATGTGACGGTCCACTTGTATTACGATGTTCTTGGAGGTAGCCACTCACAAACTTATAGACCCTGTCTCGAAATGAATCTGACTGTAATAAACCCAGAGACTTAACAAACAAATGAAACGTCTTGGCGTGATAGAATAGATTTTTTTCTCACTGAATACGATTGGTATAAACATATATCTTGCATTGAGGAACTACATAGTATCTCTTCGTACATGACATTGTAGTTGATGAGGACTAAAAGAGACATTAAATCACAACTATATTATTTTGATTTTAGGTAATTTCTGTTGGTGGATTTACATTCTATAAAATGTTTTATTTATCAGGCTTATATCTTACAAATTTGCTATGGTGTTAAATGGTGGTGCGAAAAAGCAATATTTGTTCAACGTTCATTCTAAAATCAATGGATAAGTAAATAAGTAGATAGACAAACTGTTGCGACGTAAAACGTGTCTTAAACACAATTCGACTAATCGGGTAGCACGGGTCATCGCTCGATACAAGCACGTGCCTATCAGAGACAGTAAGCATTACAAGTACATTCTACTTTATGTGATCGTTATCTGTTGACGTGTTTAACGCAGCCGCTCTTTATGCTAACAAATGATCGTAATCAACGCCAGAAAATGTGTATCTATGAATAAATATGTTCATTTCCGATGTTTTTTGTTGTTGACATTATTGATACAGTATTTTATAGTACCATGTGGTTTTCATGCAGGCATGAGCATATTGACACAATCTCCTCCCAGAAGAATATACACGTAATTATTTTTATGTAAGCAACAATGCGATCTGATGATAACAGCATAGTGCAAACATCAAACAATTAATTTTGTAAAAGTATAGAATTGTCGAAATATCTAATGTTTATATGTGAATAATGATATCTAAATAAGTGAAGCTGAAAATAATACATCAATATAGAAGTTACAAATTAGTGGTTAAAATGAACAAAAACATTGTATTGGGAAGTGGATTGTTTTATATCTATAACAGCCGAGAAAAATAGAATTTAATATTTTTAAAACTGATTTCAATATATGTATTCAGTTTTCACCTTTAAAATTATCCCTTATGCCTTATCAAAGCTATAAATATACATTTTCCCCAAATCAGTTGCAAATGGTTTTGTGTAGTGATCTCCACGAGCAGATGACTATCACGTGTTTGAAGTCAAATCGATTCATTCTTTATGATAAAAGACATGTCAACCGCAGAACCAGATCCTGTCCCCTTGCCACAGCAAGAAACTGAGCCTTGTTCGCGTTGTATTCAGGCAGTGAGGGCGTTCCCAAGATACATCTACATGCTGAATCAGCCCGCAAAGATTACCTTTATCATGACCATCTAAAAATACTCTCATACCCCTCTATTTTGGGACCCTTTAACGGACCACTAAAGTGGGTTTCTGCTCTGCGAAATCATGTGGATATTTCCTTCTGCTTGTATTTTGCCCTTGTTTAATTGATTATGAGTTTAGAATATGACTATGTAGATATGTTGTTTGTATTTGTTGTTGTTTCTTGAACTTGAAGCTTTGGACTTAAACACCGACTAGCTTCCGTTTAATGCAGAGTTATACTTATAGAACTACCATCACTATCATCCACAAACAATCTCATAGTCGATAGTCGATTCGAATATGGATTGATAAATACACGTAAACGACAAGTGTGTAGTATGCCATAAAGATTTATTTCTACGTGTAAACTATGTTTCTATAGTTTAACTAATGCTTGCTGGTTATAAAACAGTTCAGCAGATTTTCGGTGAAATGGATAACGTGTTTTTGTGCGAACGAACGATATTGTGATATTTCCTTGTTTTGTTGTCAGATATGGACGATTTTCGTGAATTCTGTACCTTTATATCTTCTTGTCACATACTTATAAAAATGAGAAGTAATCTACTTCTTTGTGTGCATTCGAGTTTAGATTATAATTCTGTCTACATACTGGTGTTTTTTTTGGTCCCCCCCCATATATATGTACAGATTTACTGTTTTTTATCAGCGAGCAAAGTGCTTGAACGAATGAAGAATTAAACGGAGTGGAAATTTACTGACTGTCCATCACACAGCTATATACCCACATTGATGGGACAAGGGGCTTTTACATCAGCCGCTTACATCTCGAGCTATTCCTACACTGAAATCAACAGAGTAGCTTTTATATCAAGCGATATGATAAATACAATGATTTCAATTTCCAAATTGTAACTTTTGCAATTTTGAAAGTAACAATCCTGCATTCCGGACCTATGGAGTCAACACGCCTCTGATGATTCGATATATTCAGGGACTTGTTCTCAATATAGCAGTTTTCTTGCAGGATATCGGCAGCTTAGAGACAAACTCTCAACGCAAGGTTTAGTAAGATGCAAGTGGATGAATCTGATCTCATTGGGAAATATTCTACTTCCTTGCATGCAGTTGAACGTTTTGCTGCTCATATTTACCTTGTTCTCATTCGAAAACGTCGCATTATTTATGCAGATTGATCAAGATTTTCATGGGAAGTGTCAACAATGAAACAGAGGTCGCTAACTCTTTCCGAACATATGGACCGTTTGTCCCTTTAAGTCATGTAATCATTTCATTTGTTCATATTTTGCCCTAGGTTTTCTCGATTATGAGTTAAGATTACGTTGACATGTCGGTATCTTCCTTGTTAGTTTTGTCATTATCAAGAGAGCATTAAAATGAAGAAAAATATTTAGAAAATTATTTAATATCCCAGGTATAACTTCCTCTTATGAAACCAGCGGCTACAATTCGTACACCCTAACTGCAGGGCAATGAGAGAAATGACAAGTAATAACCCTTGTGACTATTGAAATGTTCTTGTGGTACGTGTAGAGATACAGGAAAATTTCCTTTGAATGGGTTTGTTTACACTTTAATTAATAACTTGTTATATACACTTGAACACACTTAAATATATACGAGTCCTGTTAATGATGTAGTAATATAATCAGATATGTTTATGTTCATGCTTAGGAATTTATAGAATGCTTTGAAAAATGTACAGATTTACGGAAATTCCCTATAGGTCTAGATAGATCGATTTACAAATGTTCGCGCGTGTCTGGTTTCGTCATAACAGGTTTGCAGAATAATGTGTGTGAATTATGAAATCAATAGAAAACAAGAATAATAAAGTAATACAATTATCATCCCATCATACATTCTAGTAAACAGCACGTATATATATATATATATATATATATATATATATATATATTATGAATAAACGATCAAGTGACCTTGCAGTTCCAGATTTCCGATGCACTATATTTAAATGGTTTACTGGGAGTATTCTCACCAATTTCACTTGGCATGAAAGACAACCGGATAGATATATTGATACTTACAATAGTTATAACAATAAATAGTATGATGTTTTAAAAGTAACAGAACAGTCAGATTTTTTTTTTCAATTTGGACGGAATGTCTCATTAATGTGCAGCTTAATATTTAAACAACATATTACGAGTGATTTGTAGTTTTTCGAAAATTTCACCGCGCGAATTTTGTCTTGAAACTCCCTTCCCGAACGGATTTCTATTGAACGTTTTTTGCCATTTATTTCAGAATCTCTCGTCGATTGTGGTGATTTATCATGTTTTGAATGTTCAGGAGTGTATAGAATTACTCCAGTACCAGGGACGTCGTTCGATGTGTATTGTGACACGGAAACATCCGGAGGTCCTTGGACTGTAAGTGTTTCATAATATGTATGATAACTACCAATACATTCCGAAGTATATAGACTGTGAATGTCTTTAAGTATGGGAAATAGACACGTATATGATTTGATGTAGTTCCATGTTACACATGTAGTAAATATACTTTCAGAAGGAGATGTAAATTCCATTTTACACATATTGGAAATATACTTTCAGAAGGAGATGTAAATTCCATTTTACACATATTGGAAATATACTTTCAGAAGGAGATGTAAATTCCATTTTACACATATTGGAAATATACTTTCAGAAGGAGATGTAAATTCCATTTTACACATATTGGAAATATACTTTCAGAAGGAGATGTAAATTCCATTTTACACATATTGGAAATATACTTTCAGAAGGAGATGTAAATTCCATTTTACACATATTGGAAATATACTTTCAGAAGGAGATGTAAATTCCATTTTACACATATTGGAAATATACTTTCAGGAGATGTAAATTCCATTTTACACATATTGGAAATATACTTTCAGAAGGAGATGTAAATTCCATTTTACACATATTGGAAATATACTTTCAGAAGGAGATGTAAATTCCATTTTACACATATTGGAAATATACTTTCAGAAGGAGATGTAAATTCCATTTTACACATATTGGAAATATACTTTCAGAAGGAGATGTAAATTCCATGTTCCATATACAGTCCAATTATGATAGCCTTTGTTATGAGCCAAATTAAATTCGTTCATTCCGACTTTTAGTTCTTGACTCATGATAACTCCGGTTACAGGTACATAAAAGTTAAATATGAACGAATGAAAAACTACTTATCACCTTAATTACAATTAACTCTTAGCATTTGCACTGTTGTCATTTAAGTTGATTTGTGATGGAAAGGCAAAGAAAATCGACTCATTACAAGTTACATGTACTATACCAAGTACAACCATGTGTGTAATCTCAACGAAGTCCAATAATGATTTCATATACGGAATGATTGAAATTCTTCAGAAAACATCAAACCAGTGTAAAAATAAACCTATCATGAGGAATCAACTTTAAGTTACAAGAGTTGGTTCTAGCAGTTTATTTACATACATAAAAAAACCTTTAGATATGGAATGTTTTTGAATACCCGTCTACTGCTAGTGAACAGAGAGTTTCAATTGTTGTGATAATTCATTCCTTAAGACTATCAAAATGAATATTAATGGAAACCGGATCAGAAAAATATTTATATGTAGTATTAAAGAAACAATATGAATTGCATTTAATGAGGAAGACTATATTTATGTATTATAGCTTCACAAATAGTAAATTTAAAGACGAGAAAAAGTAGATTCCTACAAATATATTTACATGTATATATATATAGAGAGAGTTCTTGCAGATATGCAATTTATACATGTTAAAGGTTATTCAAAGACGATTTGATGGTTCGGTCAACTTTACTCGAAACTGGGAAGACTACAAGCGTGGATTCGGAACTCCTTACGGCGAATACTGGTTGGGTGAGCATGAACGCTAAAACGTCAGTGTGAAATGTTCTGACACATTATTTAGTATGATGAAAGTAGTTTAAAGAGTTTGAAGAATACTTTATAAGAGTTAATATACATGAATATATTAGTCATAAAGAGAGATTGAAATTATAGTATATTTTTCAGCTTTTCGAAAGAGAAATGACCTACGGTCGAGTGTGCAATTACTGATTGGTCTGTTGCTATCCTTTTTCATTAACACAACATTAGGTCTAGAGTATATTCATAGCCTTCTTACCCTGGACCAAAGGCTGAATGTGAAGTTAGAAGGATGGGACGGGACAGTTAGAACCGCAGCTTATCGTAAATTTATCATTGAAAGCGAATCTGATTTGTATCAGCTGACTATTGATGGCTTCACTGGTGATGTCGGTGAGTGTCTTTGTTTTCTTCACCTTCATGTATGTCAGGAAAGCTGTTGACGATGCGCAGCGTCCATTGTCAGTCAATCCATCCTCGCGGCTTCATTCTTTAATCTCTAAATGGTAAATTGTTTACAGTAAAAATGCTTGGCCAGTGTAAAGTTTCATGGTTTTTTTTCGAATGAAAGACCCAGATCCACTTGGTAGCTCAAAATGAAAATATGTTTTGAAATCTTGTAACGATTTCTTCGCAATAACCAGGCGACTCATATTTGGAAAGTAGAATACTGAATTGTAAAGCAATGATGAATTTTCTCATAAATTTGTGATGTTTACAGAAATACAATGTATTAAAAACCAGTGAATGACTGCTTGGTAACCATAAGACTTTTGTTCCGGATTTTTAAACAGGACCAAGCTAGGTTTTACGATTACAAATTATTTAAACGAGTGATTTCACATGTGTGTCCATTTCATATGATATTAATTTATTTCAGTGAAGGTCAAGTATGCTATTAGAAGCCAAATTAATTTGATGTTTTGTCAATCAGATAACTTTAAATGACATCAATTGTTCTACATTACAAACCTCCTCAGAGACTCGATAAAATAAACCCCTTCTCTCTTACTCACTTTTGAGTCAAAACTCCTAAAATCACCTGTGTACCAGTTCCTGCTACCCTGGATTGATATTCATCACGCTATTACTTTGGTAATCATACATTCTCATTTTTGTTGTTTGTATTTTGAGCCTGATCTGGATATCACTTTTTTTCTCTTTGTTTTATTTCAGATGATCAACTCACACAACATAACCGACAGCGTTTCTCTACCTACGACAGAGATAATGATCTAAGAACAGGGGGAAGTTGTGCCGACAGTGGCAGAGGAGGCTGGTGGTACAAAAATTGCTACACTGCCAACTTAAACGGTGTTTACGCCTTTGACAAAGGAATCGATGTGTCGTATTCTATGCATTGGCTATATTTCTACCCCTACAGATCCCAAATACCTTTGCGAAACTGTTCCATGATGATAAAAAGGAAACGAAATTGACGAAAACTCAAAGGAATAGATACATTGTGATACCAATGTTTGTAATGTCGCCAGTTTTGTGATTTGATATCGCGGCCTGAAACGTCACGAAGATATAAAAAATATCTATGTGTTGACGTCAGCATTATTCTAGAGAAAGATATATCATTTTCCAGCGCAGTGAAAAGGTGATTAATAGCTTAAAGTACTATATAAGCATTACTTTCGCAGATTCGGTACGTAAACATTTTATCTGATTTCTATGTTCTTATATATTTTGTATTGTGTCGATGTACAAACATAAAGAAATATATTAACTGAAGTTTGTTGTGGTCTTTGTGCAGTTGCCGTTTTTAATGTAAAGAAACGAGATTGACTCCTGATATATTGTACTTGTTTGATTGTACAGGCTTGATGCCGGTCCGAAATCCGTCATTTTTAAGGAACGAGATTGACTCCTGATATATTGTACTTGTTTGATTGTACAGGCTTGATGCCGGTCCGAAATCCGTCATTTTTAAGGAACGAGATTGACTCCTGATATATTGTTTGATTGTACAGGCTTGATGCCGGTCCGAAATCCGTCATTTTTAAGGAACGAGATTGACTCCTGATATATTGTACTTGTTTGATTGTACAGGCTTGATGCCGGTCCGAAATCCGTCATTTTTAAGGAACGAGATTGACTCCTGATATATTGTTTGATTGTACAGAATGCCGGTCCGAAATCCGTCATTTTTAAGGAACGAGATTGACTCCTGATATATTGTACTTGTTTGATTGTACAGGTTTGATGCCGGTCCGAAATCCGTCATTTTTAAGGAACGAGATTGACTCCTGATATATTGTACTTGTTTGATTGTACAGGCTTGATGCCGGTCCGAAATCCGTCATTTTTAAGGAACGAGATTGACTCCTGATATATTGTACAGGTTTGATGCCGGTTCGAAATCCGTCATTTTTAAGGAATATATTGTACGAGATTGACTCCTGATATATTGTTTGATTGTACAGGCTTGATGCCGGTCCGAAATCCGTCATTTTTAAGGAACGAGATTGACTCCTGATATATTGTTTGATTATACAGGTTTGATGCCGGTCCGAAATCCGTCATTCTTAAGAAACGAGATTGACTCCTGATATATTGTTTGATTGTACAGGCTTGATGCCGGTCCGAAATCCGTCATTTTTAAGGAACGAGATTGACTCCTGATATATTGTACTTGTTTGATTGTACAGGCTTGATGCAAATCCGTCATTTTTAAGATGCCGGTCCGAAATCCGTCATTTTTAAGGAACGAGATTGACTCCTGATATATTGTTTGATTGTACAGGCTTGATGCCGGTCCGAAATCCGTCATTTTTAAGGAACGAGATTGACTCCTGATATATTGTTTGATTATACAGGCTTGATGCCGGTCCTAAATCCGTTATTTTTAAGGAACGAGATTGACTACTGATATATTGTACATGTTTGATTATACAGGCTTGATGCCGGTCCGAAATCCGTCATTTTTAAGGAACGAGATTGACTCCTGATATATTGTTTGATTGTACAGGCTTGATGCCGGTCCGAAATCCGTCATTTTTAAGGAACGAGATTGACTCCTGATATATTGTTTGATTGTACAGGCTTGATGCCGGTCCGAAATCCGTCATTTTTAAGGAACGAGATTGACTCCTGATATATTGTACTTGTTTGATTGTACAGGTTTGATGCCGGTCCGAAATCCGTCATTTTTAAGGAACGAGATTGACTCCTGATATATTGTTTGATTGTACAGGCTTGATTATACAGGCTTGATGCCGGTCCGAAATTCGTCATTTTTAAGGAACGAGATTGACTCCCGATATATTGTTTGATAGTACAGGCTTGATGCCGGTCCGAAATCCGTCATTTTTAAGGAACGAGATTGACTCCTGATATATTGTTTGATTGTTGATGCCGGTCCGAAATCCGTCAGGCTTGATGCCGGTCCGAAATCCGTCATTTTTAAGGAACGAGATTGACTCCTGATATATTGTACTTGTTTGATTGTACAGGCTTGATGCCGGTCCGAAATCCGTCATTTTTAAGGAACGAGATTGACTCCTGATATATTGTTTGATTATACAGGCTTGATGCCGGTCCGAAATCCGTCATTTTTAAGGAACGAGATTGACTCCTGATATATTGTACTTGTTTGATTGTACAGGCTTGATGCCGGTCCGAAATCCGTCATTTTTAAGGAACGAGATTGACTCCTGATATATTGTACAGGTTTGATGCCGGTCCGAAATCCGTCATTTTTAAGGAACGAGATTGACTCCTGATATATTGTACTTGTTTGATTGTACAGGCTTGATGCCGGTCCGAAATCCGTCATTTTTAAGGAACGAGATTGACTCCTGATATATTGTACTTGTTTGATTGTACAGGTTTGATGTCGGTCCTAAATCCGTCATTTTTAAGGAACGAGATTGACTCCTGATATATTGTACTTGTTTGATTGTACAGGCTTGATGCCGGTCCTAAATCCGTCATTTTTAAGGAACAGGCTTGATATATTGCCGATTCGTCATTTTTAAGGAACGAGATTGACTCCTGATATATTGTTTGATTGATTTTTAAGGAACGAGATTGACAGGCTTGATGCCGGTCCGAAATCCGTCATTTTTAAGGAACGAGATCAGGCTTGATGCCGGTCATTTTTAAGGAACGAGATTGACTCCTGATATATTGTTTGATTGTACAGGCTTGATGCCGGTCCGAAATCCGTCATTTTTAAGGAACGAGATTGACTCCTGATATATTGTTTGATTGTACAGGCTTGATGCCGGTCGGAAATCCGTCATTTTTAAGGAACGAGATTGACTCCTGATATATTGCACTTGTTTGATTGTACAGGCTTGATGCCGGTCCTAAATCCGTCATTTTTAAGGAACGAGATTGACTCCTGATATATTTGATTGTACAGGCTTGATGCCGGTCCGAAATCCGTTTTTTAAGGATTGACTATAGGTATTGTTTGATTGTACAGGTTTGATGCCGGTCCGAAATCCGTCATTTTTAAGGAACGAGATTGACTCCTGATATATTGTTTGATTGTACAGGCTTGATGCCGGTCCTAAATCCGTCATTTTTAAGGAACGAGATTGACTCCTGATATATTGTACTTGTTTGATTGTACAGGCTTGATGCCGGTCCGAAATCCGTCATTTTTAAGGAACGAGATTGACTCCTGATATATTGTACTTGTTTGATTGACAGGTTTGATGCCGGTCCGAAATCCGTCATTTTTAAGGAACTCCGTCATATTTTACTTGAACGATGATTGACTCCGAGATTGACTCCTGATATATTGTATTGTTTGATTGTACAGGCTTGATGCCGGTCCGAAATCCGTCATTTTTAAGGAACGAGATTGACTCCTGATATATTGTTTGATTGTACAGGCTTGATGCCGGTCCGAAATCCGTCATTTTTAACAGGATGCCGGTCCGAAATCCGTCATTTTTAAGGAACGAGATTGACTCCTGATATATTGTACTTGTTTGTATTGAGGTCTTACCTTTAATAATACACAGGACACGCGATTGTTAAATATCAAATAATTACAACAACAACAAAAAAGAGAAACTAGATTTGTTCTTAAGAAGTTTTGCTCCGGAAAGGTAACATTTGATGTCCATTTCTCTACTACTATCGAACGAAATGGGTAAAGGCTAGTATAAATTACTGATACATTAGGTGTTGGTAGAAATAATACATATCAGATAATTGTAGCAGATCGACACCGTATAACGAAAGAACGAATTGACAGATCATTATCACAATTAAGACTTATTATAATCAAAATCCGTCTTCATAGACCTGAGCCATGGACGACGACGACGCCGACTATGCCGATAGTAGTGGCTATGTTGTTACGTAGATTTACATGGCTGGTGTCGTCGATGAAGCTGAAGACCCTTTCTCTTTCGTAATACCCGGTCTTATTCTCCTTGTACTGTTTCAGAAATCTCCATATAAATCTTTCTTTAGTTCATATTTTGTCCTGGTTTTATTGAATTTGAGTTTATTATATGATGGTGTATTTTATGTGTTGCTTTCCAACATAGATATATGAGGGCGAGAAAAGTCGATTTATTTGTGATTAGAAATGCCTCTGGTAAATATCACTATTTCATATTAAAATCGATTTGTTGCTATTGTGTATAAAAAACGACAGCAGGACTTTATTGTGACATACTTACTACTCATCTTTGTAGCGGTTTGATACTGTTTAATTGTTTTGATTCATTAATATGTAAGAAGTAATTTGTAAACATCTATTGTGACGCCAAAAGATGAAGCGCAAGGTTTTCCAGGTGTTTGTACTATTAAGGCTGTGTTTATTACTTTCCTTCCAATCCACGAAGACGTCCTACTACAAATTAGAAACTCCTTACACTGGCACGACACAGTTGAACACCACGACTGTACGATCGGCAATAGAATGTTCAGTGATTTGTTCCAGCCCAAATTGTGTATCTTTCTTATTCGATACAACAACAAAAGTGTGTTCTACGTACGGAAATGTCAGTCATGACGAGACCGGAAACGGAACAACGAGCGTGAGGAAGTCCAAAATGGCGAAATCCGGTTAGTCCTGAAGGTTATGTATGAGATTGTGTGTGTGTTTGGGGGTGAGGGTGTGTGTGTGTGTGTGTTTGGTGAGGGTGTGAGTGTGGGTATGTGTGTGTGTGTGTGTGTGTGTGTGTGTGTGTGTGTGTGTGTGTGTGTGTGTGTGTGTGTGTGTGTGTGGTGAGGGTATGTGTGCGTATGTGTGTGTGGAGGAGGAGATATGGAGTTTAAAAGATATGCTGACTGCAGTGGGGGGACAGAAGGTAAGAATCACCGAGTAAAAAGCTTCAACTGAATTCTCTAACTTAGAAAGCCAAGTAATAACATACACAGGGCGTCGTACCTCAGAGGTATGTAGTAATGTCAATGTCCTTGTAAAATTACACAACGTTACGCGATGTGCACACAATATCTTACAAGATGTCTTTCTGTCTAGGCAATAAAATTTCTTAAATCCCTTACAGTCAGAAAGGAAACTTTATTTTCATTTCTTCTGCATTATTTGCATGTTCCTTTCATTTTGTAAACAAAACAGATGCTGTGTTTGTTACACGGGAGATTTGTACAAAATTTTAATTTATTCCTCTCTTATTCTGGATTTGCAGACTTTAAAATATTTATTTGTCAAGATTTTATAACATTTACCTTAACGATCATGACACGAGAATGGAATTGAAGAATTGAAAAGTAATAAATTGCCGGAAAAAACTTTTGCAGGATAAATAAGCCTTGTTTCTTCATTCATGTATTTCTGTATTTTGACAATATATCTTATACTTTCCTGCCTTGAAATGGAAGTCGACCAATCGGACGTATATCTCATCAATCAATAAAAAACATGTTATTATC